ACTCTCCAAAGAGGTGGATTTGGGTCTCCCTTCGATCACAAAAAGGGCACTTATCTCTCCTCCTTAGCCTTTTGGTACTTATATGATCTCCAGTGGGAAGCGCGTCTCTCGCAAATTTCCACAAGAAATGTTTAATCTTTGGGGCCACTTCCATCCCCTAGAGTTTTTTCCAGACTGTCTCCTCGCCCACCGGAACAATCCCCAGGTTTGTCTTACATTACTCAAGCTAAAATCGATATCCTTCCCAAACCGAATAGCTATCGTTCACACTCACATTCCAAATGAGCCTGTCCTTTTCTTGTATCCCGCACAAAGGGATCTCCAAAATGGATTGAATTACATTATTAGGAAAGCATTGTTCCAGCACTGATAAGTCCCACCCTTCTGTGTCTGTGTCTATGAGATTGATAACTCGGGACTCCACTGGAAAACTTTTGTCGAAGAAGAGACAAAACCCTCAGCGCTGTGCCGAGCCATTTGTCTCCCCAAATGCGAACCCGATCACCATTTCCAAACCTTCACCTTGTACCCCTATGGATGAACTCCTGTGCCGACATCAAGCTACGCCAAACATAGCTCGGGTTATATCCCACGTTCGGCCTCAAGGATGGACGAATGCTTATGATATTTGGCCCTGAGTATTTGCTCAATGAGCGAGTCTTGCACTGTGGTAAAGATTCCACAACTGCTTGCCTAGGAGCGCCATATTGAAAACCCGTCAAGTCGCAAAACCCCATACTGCCCTCCAACTTGGGACACGCTAGCTCCTCTCTCTTGATCCAGTGAACCCGCCTCTCGGATCCTCGCTGTCCTCACCAAAATGTAGTGATCAAACTATGTACCTAGTCAATTATTCCATCCGGAATTTTGAAAAGTGACATAGCATATGACAGTTGCGCTGGGCTACTGACTTCATCATAACTTCTCTAACTCCAACAGACATCACTCATTCTTTCAAACCCTTTCAGCTTCTTACGAACCCGATCAACCAGCCTTGCAAAAATTTCCTTCTTCGATCTGCCAACTGTGGTGGCAAAACCAAGATACTTTTCATGCTTCTCCACAATCCTCATCCCTAGGGTTCCAGCCACAATTAACTTAGTATGAGGGGTTACCTTCTTGCCGAAAGAGACTTCAGATTTCTGAAAGTTAACCAGTTGCCCGGACTCGCGCTCGTAATCTACCAAAATTCTTTTCAGCGTATCACACTCTTGCGTAGTGGCCCGTACGAAAAAATATTTTCATCGATGAAAAACAGGTGCGAGATTTCCGGCACCCCCACACCTGGACGAATCCCGTGCGGTCGTTTTTTCCCGGACAGCTTTCTTTGTGTATGCTGATAAGCCCTCCGAACAAAGAAGAAATGAATATGGTGATAGGGGATCTCCTTGTCGTAATCCTCGACCGGGAGAAAAATGCTGAGATTGATGCTCGTTGACTAAGATGGAAATAAGTAACCAAGCTGACACACAACATAACTCGGTCCACCCACTTGTAATCAAAACCCATCTTTCGCATTACTCCTTCCAAGAACCTCCATTCTACCCTGTCGTAAGCCTTTGTCATGTCAATCTTCGCTGAAAAATATCCCACCTTTCCGGCCATTCTCTTCTTTATAGTGTGAAAACACTCAAAAGCCGCCATCACGTTATCTATAATAAACCTTCCCGATACAAAAGCACATTGCATCGGCGAAATAAATCCTGTTGAGAAGACCCTTTAGCGGATTCGCCAGAACCTTTGACGTCATCTTCACCTTCGGGATTAGAGCGATAAGAGTGTGATTTATCCCCGGTGTCATCTCCCCATCTTCAATAATTCTGCGGACAGTAGCTACCACATCATCCACCACCGTCCTCCTAGTATTTCCTGAAGAAAGAACTGATAAGCCATCGACACTTGGGGCCTTAAGTGCCCCCATCTGCTTCAGTGAGCCCCAAAACTCCTCCCTCGTGACTGGCTTTAAAAGCTCCTCGTTATCCTCCCTTGCTACCAATCTTTGGATGGCTTCCAGGACTGCAGAATCAGTCGGCACAGGTCTTGCAGTAAACAAGGAGCTAAAATAGTGAAGGAGAGTTAGTAGCCTGTTCAATTCTCGAGAACCAATTCCCTTCCTTATCTCTCAGCTTTTTTATGGTATTTCTCTTTCGTGGGGCTGAAGCTTTCATGTGGAAGAATTTTGTGTTTTTGTCACCGCCTTTCAGCCATTTTGCACGAGATCTCTACTTCAAATACTGCTCTTCTTCTTCCTTCAATACTTCCACCTCAGTTTCAAGGTCTTTACGTTGCTGTAGAACTTGGTTCGTCTTCGGGCATCGGTCGAGCGCCTTCAAAAATCTTCCAATGCGTTCTCGCTACTTGGCTAAACGCAGGAAAGTCTGCCTGCTCCATTCCTCCAAGCTTGTCCTACAAGCATGGATCTTTGAGAGCACATCCACATGACTTGAGCCATTCCAGGCTTCTTCAATCACACCTGCAGAATCAGCATGGTTAGACCAAAAAGGATATTGATATGGTTTTTAGATTTTAGTATTTAAAAATATACCAAAGATTTTTTTATTGCAATTGGTAATGGTTGTTGTCTTTGTTTGGAAAGACAATAATTCAAATCTCGAGATTGATGTATTTTTATTCATATGAATAAAAATAAATAATGATTGTGAAGACACAATTACCCTTCCTACTTTCACTCTCGTTGAAGCAAATTTGAAATGTCGAATAACTGCCCCCAACTCTGCCATAATATATTTGTAGAGATAATATTCTTTGTAAGTCGTATGAGATGATGCTAAAGTGGTCGTTGAGAAGATTTACAAGACTGATACCCAAGATAGTTAAATGGGCACAATTCTCGAGGAGGTCGAAAATTATTCAGCGATTCATGGTGGCCTTAGTGTGCGATTTGTAGGTCAATTTAAGAATAGGGGAGACCCTTTGCTGGTTAGAAATGCCCCTTCATTGTACCCTACTGCGAGTCGTTCTTTTGATTTTCTAGTCTAGCTTAATTTCAGGATGTAACTACCTCTTTCTTCAAAAAAACATCAAAATGAAGGAATTTTTTTTTTACACGGCCATATGAAAACTTAAGATTTGAATTTTGGAGATATGGTGCAAATGTCACATAAGAATAGAGGTGTGAATCAGGCAAGGTCGAGAGGGTTTCAGTTGGGTTCGATCGGTTTAAGGGTTAGTCGAATTTTGGGTTCATCAAGTTAGGATTTATTGGGTTGCAGGTCACTCGGGTACGGATAAATCGGGTTGCAAGTTCATCGAATTGCGGGTCAATCGGGTTACAGGTTGATCGGACGAGTTGTGAGCATATCGGGTCGCGGGGTGTTCAGGTCATCGCATTGTGTTATTTACTATTCAATATTCACAAATAAAAGTTAAAAAACTTGTCAAAGTGTGACATTGATTTTTTTATCCTTTTAGATGATTGAGTTATTGCAAATCGTATGACTTAATAAATCAAGCTTAACCCTCAATTGCAAACCCAAATTCAACTCAAGCACAACTTTAATGTGCCAAATCTTTACTTCCGTGTTGTAAACTAACAATCATATAGTGCAAAAGTTGTAATAAATGTAGAAGCATAGAAAATATGTAGATAAATTAAATATAATTATTTAAAATAAATAATTGTTGAAACTAATAATTAATTTAGTATTAAATTATAAAAAATTAAATATATAGTAACCTTCAATTTACATAACTTCATACACTAAAGATAGTCTAATTAACTAATAGTGAAATTAATTAGTTTATATAGCTAGATAATTGCGTTGTTTAAGTTCTTAAATTAGTTCATATAATGGGTGCTAGTTTATGTGTACTAAAAAAATGATTGATTTATTATGATGAGATGATGCATGATAGATTCTCCTATAGACAATGTCTTATTTATTAAATGATAAACTCTTAACTCATGTTATGTTGACAAATATACTATATCTAATTGTGCTGAAGTGACATTCATGATTTAGTTTTAATAATTTTACTAAAATGCATAATTTCAAGAGTGTTTCAGATTTTTTAACCTAAACTATTTTGCAGATTTATTGTGATAAGATGACGTATGATAGGTTCTACTATATACAACTGTGTTGGTTTTATATTTAGTATTTATTGTTTTTACCTATGTTTAGAATCGAATAATTCATTTTGCAAAACTATGTATTATATTATATAATATAGTAATTATTCAGTTGGATCAGGCGAGGTTCAGATTGAATCGGTCGGGTTGGATCAATTGGATTACAGGTTTAATTGGGTTCTAGGTCAATCGAGTTCGAGTTAATTGAGTTGCGGACTAGTCAGGTTGTGAGTCGGCCGAGCTACGGGTCAGTGACTTTTAGTCAATTCGAGTTGTGATAGGACGGTTTAATCAGATCGAATTCTATTTTTACACCTGTGCATAAGAATAGATTTTTGTATATGTCATGTTGCATTATATTCCCTTACTTTCGGCTATGGAATAATTACTATGTTAAAAGCATAACTGATAAATGGTATAACTGAAAATCTCATCAAAATTTGTTGTCATCCTAAATTTTAAATGAGTAGTCAATCCGAATAAGAAAGATTTGTCATCACTCATCATAATAATTCCTTTGCTAAATATTTTTAGTATCATTTGGTCTAGAATTCAGAAAACAAGACAAGGATATTATCAATATAGGCAACATGTTTTGTTTTGCTCTGTGCATAGCTTGCGGGAAAAATCAAAATTAGGCACTTGTTAGCAAACAGAAGTTGGAGTTTTATGTTCAACACACCATTCGATATTTGCCTCCCGGAAAAGAAATTAAAAAGCATCTGTTAAGGTTAGGCAGATATTTCAATATTTACCCTTACATTAATATTCCATTATTGATAATTTCATTTCTCCCCGCCCTACGCAGCCTAATCGTACTCGAGATTAACACTATTAAAGGCAATCGCTGCCAATCAAATTACATATCCATTACAACACAAAACTCTCATATAGCAACCAAAAAAAAATGTTGACCAAAATACTTACGGTGGTTCTTCTGGCAACGATCACAATGGCGAGTCCAGCAATGTCGTACAGGCTTCAGATTAACGTTTCAAATCAATTGAGTAGAGGTCGGAAGATCACGGTGCGATGCGAGTCTAAAGATGACGACTTGGGCTCCCGTCGCTTGGTCAGCGGCGATGTGTATAGTTGGAGTTTTTCGCGCAACATTTTCGGCACGACGCTTTTCTGGTGTGATGTGGCCACCGCACGCAGCAAAAAGCATCTCTCTTTCAATGCATACGACGAAAGCCAAAGAAAGAAAGGGATGCCCAAGCTTCATGAACTTACCTGGGAGATCAAGGACGACGGTCTTTATTTTGCTGGTTTTCCCATTCCAATTGCACCATGGGTCTCGCAGTAAGGTGTTTGTCATATATTCTTAGCTTGTTGTTTCAGTTTGGTCCATTGTATTCTGTTGTGATGTTGGGGTTTCATTTACTGTATCGTACGTATTGATGGATTGATGTGTTTTGTGCGTATACCAGCAGCCTGCAAAAGCACAAATATTCTACTAGCTGTTTATGCCTAAATATTAATCTTGTATCACATCAGTTAACTACAAGGAATGTAACGGTTTCATTGTTTCATGTGTATCCATTGTACACAAGTATCCATTGAGTCTTAAGAATGTCTTTCCATTGTACATGTCATTTCTAAAATTAAATAAGGTTGGAAAATGGATATGCATTTCAGGAGACGACTCCACAGTCCACACTAGAGGTAGAAATTGGGGTGGGTGTACTGAAGCTCTATGTTTTTCACGTTGCGAAAAGTCGCAAATGCGACAAACAATGGTGTACGAAAGGAAAATCAAGCAAAAGGTTTGTGTAATCAAATAATTGTGCGTGAGATAATCAATAATTCAATATAAGTTGGCAGGTGTGTATTGTTAAAAAATCAACGGAAAATCTCATTTGAAAGATGGTTTCATCCCTTTCGGTTTCTCTAACCTATTCCCATTAATTATTTGTGCCTTCATATCCATGTTTACCTCCTCTTCATTATTCTTTATCTTATTAATTTACATCCAACATGAACTTAGATTAGATATGGTGGCAAATGGGATGGAAAAATGACATTCCCTAGTGTATTAAATACAACTATAGAATTTAATACACACATTAAATACACATTAGGAATTAAATGCACCATATTAATTATTATCTTTTTTTTCAAATTAAAACCTACACTAAATATATTCTCTCTCCTTATATCTGATTTTTCCTTTTTCAGCAACCTCTGACCACCAGACTTTCTCCGACCGCCACACTTCTCCGGTGAAAATCTCATCGGCAGACTCCCTCCGAACACCTGCAAAAAATATACCACTGCACTGATACGTTGTACCACTACACTGGTAGCTATACCACTGCACTAGTAGCGATATCAGTGCACTGGTACCAATGTCATATATGAGTATCAGTGCAGTGGTACAAATACCAGTACAGTGGTACAACATATCAGTGCAGTGGTATATTTTCGCAGGTGACCCGAGAGAGTCTGTCGGTGGATTTTACCGGCGAAATGTGGTGGTCGGAGGCTGCTCGGAAAGGAAGAATAGAGATAGGAGAGAGAAAGATCAAAGATGAGAGAGAATTGTATTTTTGTATATGTTTAGATTTTTTTTAAAAAACGAGTAATTAATGTGGTGTATTTAATGCTTACTTTGTATTTAATAACAGAACATTTATTATGGTTACTTTCATTAATACTAGTCAATAATTAATGAAAAATTGACCAATTAACAAGGGAGTGTCATTTTTCTAACCTCTTAAGGGGTTAGCATGCTAACCCATCCTGGTGGCAAATGATTTGCAAGACACACAAATTGATCGTGATTCCCCATATTATAATTCAGTTATTCAAAAAAAAAATCAGGTTTTGTAAATAAGAGTCCATCCGCTGCAAACTTTCAAAGCTAAAACAAATATCGTACGTGCATATCACAAAAAACCCATAGAAAGAATAATTAATATATATGCTTAAAATGGCAAAACACAAAATACTAACTTAACGTTTATTTTACGTTTCATGGGTAGCTTACTAAATTCCCTATTCTACCAAAAAGGAAAGAAGTAATAAAAGACATACACTGCAGAAGAAGGGGGGAAAAACTTGTCACTATGGAGCAACCATTGGTGGAGGCTATCAAAATATTTATTTCGTAGCGAGGAATTAATATCTAATTTAATTTAATTTTAAATCTGGTCGTGGCGGGTCAAAGAGATGTGCACAAGCAGTGTAGCAAGCACAAGATAGATTCTCACACCGTCCATAAATAACTAATCCAATTCTTCCAAACATATTGCCGCATGCTCTCTCGCATATCGAGTTATTACAAACTCCACCCCGAAGATGCAATAATGCTGCGGGAAAAGATGTGATTTTGTAGCAAAAATTTCCCTTATCTCCATATTCGTGACGACGGAATGCTACGACCTTGTTCCCTAAATTTCATTACAAACATTAGTTACATATGAAATCAAATCATCACAATCAATTAATAAGAGAAGAGACATATATACTAAATATATAGAAATGATCAGTTTCATATAAAATATAGATTATCACCATGGAGAAGACAATTTAATAGAAGAACTAATACAATTCTTGAGGAGGATGAGATTTTCATCGTGATCGTTTTCGCACTATTTTTTTTCCTGGAGTATATGAATTGTCTTGGTACGGAAGTGATATTAACTAGCAATCCACATATATATAAGAAGATTCGGTAACATAATTTTTTTACTTATGTAAATGCTAACTTCTCCATGATTGCAGGCGAGAAATAATCTTTCATGAGTTCTTTTTGTATTGTTGTTGAAGTCCATAAATCTCGGTCGTTTCTTTAATCATTTGACCGGCGACTTTCTAAATATTATGCTTGGGTTTCTCCCTTCTTTAATTTCCCTTTTTCAAAGTTTTCTCAATATGCTTTATATAGGCTAAATTACACGTTTGGTCACTCAAATTATACAAATATTTCACTTTTGCCACCCAAATTACTTTTCTTTCTTATTCGCCACTCACTTTACTAATCGATTCACCGTTAGTTATCGGCTGTTACACTCTGTTAAAATTTGTCATATATGGCAGTCAACTATAAAGTTTGACCGTTAACTAGATGATGTGAAAATATAAAAAATAAAAATTTATTTTTCCATCTCATCATTCCACTTACTTTGTCTATATGGTTTATCATATTAATAATTTAATAAAAATTAATAAATTAAAAAAATTAATTTTGAGCGAAAGAGGGGCTTCTCCGCGCCATCCATGGCGGCTCCGGAAACAGGGTCTTCTCCTCTCCCTACACCAATTTCTACTCTCCCAGAAACAACTGTGTCGTTACGAATTCAGAGCTCGCTCCTAAAGAGGGCGGGCTGCGACGCAGCCGGCTGCGCAGAAGAGGAAAAAGGATCAATACACTGGTTCTGGCTCTGGTCCAGCTACTAAGTCCCCTATTTTCCTCTGCTTAGAATATTAAAAATTGAAAATTTGGGGTTTCCCCTGTTCTCCTACCCTGTTTTGGGTCTGTTCAGAACACAAGTGGTGGGATGACCGCCAATTTATTCGTTTTGTGCATGAATCTGCTTAACCAACTCCTCCACAATCTCATTTGTCCACTTGAGAACTCCATAAGCAACCGCCGGCATTTAGATGTACCTGGGCGACTTGGGAATCCCATTTACCTTCAAATACCACAACTTTGGAGAGAGATAAAACTAACAACTAATTGTAATTTCTTCTCTCATCTTTCAGGCTTTTAAGATACCCACCAGCAGTCGTCAACACACCCTTTAAGAGCAACGCTACAAAAATGCAAAGGCCACCACCGGAGGATTTTCTCCTGAAGGAGACCAACCCACATTTGGGAGGCGGGAAGATCACGGGCGACAAGCTTACAAACACCTATGACCTCGTCAAGCAGATGTAGTATCTCTACGTCCGGGTTGTCAAGGCCAAGGACTTGCCTGGGAAAGATGTCACTGGCAGCTGGGATCCTTATGTGGAGGTCAGGCCTCGGTTCTGGAGGTTACTGTCAAGGATAAGGACTTTGTGAAGGATGATTTTATTGGGCGGGTTCAATGCGATTTGAATGAGGTCCCAAAATGTGTTCCTCCTGATAGTCCATTAACGCCTTGGTGGTACAGGTTGGAAGATAGGAAGAGTGACAAAGTAAGAGGGGAGTTGATGTTGTTTGTTTCGATGGGGACTCATGCTGACGAAGCCTTTCCTGAAGTGTGGCATTCTGATGCTGCAACCGTGAGTGGAATGGATGTTCTTACTAATATTTGATCCAAGGTTTATCTCTCTCCAAAGTTGTGGTATTCGGGGTAAATGTGATCGAAGCTCAGGACCCGCGCCAGATGCGGTGGACTAGTGCTTTTTCTTCTCTTGCGCAGCCGCGCATGCTGAGTCGGCAGCCCGCCGTCTTTAGGAGCCGACTCGGAATTCGTAACGGCAGGGTTGTTTATGGGAGAGGAGAAATTGGTGTCGAGAGAGGAGAAGACCCTGTTTCCGGAGCCGCCATGGATGGCACGAAGAAGCCCCTCCTTCGCTCAAAATTAATTTTTTTTAATTTTTTATTAAATAATTAATATGATAAACCATATAGGCAAAGTAAGTGAAATGATGAGGTGGAAAAATATTTTTTTTGTTTTTTTTTAATTTTCACATCATCTAGTTAATGGTCAAACTTTATAGTTGACTGCCACATATGACAAATTTAACAGAGTGTAACGGCCGATGATAAGCGGTGAAACGATTCGTAAAGTGAGTGACGAATAAGAAAAAAAAAATCGGGTGGCAAACGTGAATGATTTGTATAATTTGAGTGACCAAACCTGTAATTTAGCCGCTTTATATATATCTTTAATTTCCATATGTCATTTGAGAAATTGCCTTTGCTTGTACGGTATTGACAGTGCAACTAGAAGACTGCTTGTCAAGTTCAACCCGATATGAAATGTTGGAACTATAGTTAAACCACAATTTAAGTTCAAAATATCGTACCATTGAATTATCCAATGCAATTTTCAATACCGTTTTATAATTATTGAAAAATCTATTTGTGTATAGTTTGAATGAAGAAAACAGTTTCTTCTTTTTGTTTTTAATTTCTTAACAATAATCAAGCAAGGGATACACAATTTTCCTTTGTTTGACCAAACACTACTAAATATTTATCATGATCCATCTTCTCCTTTTTATTGTGAAGATTTTGCCGTGATTGGCTATGATCAGATTAAGCAACTGGGTCACGATCAACTGGATGAATCAGATTAGCCGAACTGACCAAGTTAATTTTTTTTTTAAAAAGTGAATGCATGTCTAGTGGGTTTAATGACACAAATATTTTTTTTTTTAAATTTACCACCAATATGGCGGATTAAAAAGTATTGACAAGTATATTGTGTTTTGGAGAAAAAGTTAGGCGAGACCACCTGAGACTGAGGTGTCACCACCTGAGTCTCAGGTTAATAGATGGGAAGAAAGTCCCAGGTGTTGGCACCTGAGACTGAGGTGTTACCACCTGAGACTGAGGCGTGACCACCTGAGACTGAGGTGGCACCGCGCAGAACAATCCTAATTCTAACCCTAAACCCTGAACCATGAACCCTAAACCCTAAACCCAAAACCAACGAATTTCATATCAGTTATTCACACCACAAATGACTAATAGGTAAGAGACATATTTTTTTTAATTATATTATTCAAATGTTATTATGATTGTGTTTAATTAGTGAGTTTTTCTGTAGTGATTTTAGAAGATTTGAACTAGTCGTTCGGTGGAAATCGGAGAAAGTAGAGGATAATTTGGGCGTCAAATTCATTGGTGGTGGTAGTTTTCAGTTGACGGTTTTTCAAATGTAATAGTTGTGGTTTGAAGTAGTTGTTGTTTTTCAAATAGTTGTTATGGTTTAAGAAGGTTGTTGTAGTTGTTGTTTTTCAAATGTAGTAGTTGTTGTTCTTGGCCAAATTATAAAATGTCCGAGTTGTTGTTTGTTATTTGTTGTTCCGAATAGTTATCGCTATACATGAATGTAAAAATAGTTCAAGGAATAGTCCACATAAATAGTCCACATTATAGTCCACATAACAAATAAACAACAAATTCAGACAGGAGCGTAGGCCACGTAGACAGCGATGTGAGCATCATGATGTACCTAACCCGCTCCGGATTTCAGATCGATAGCGATCACAGCCCGTTCGGCCTACTACCATCTTCTGGTTTAAACCGTCGTTTCAGCCAGGACATCAGACAGGCGCCAGCGAGGTGTGGTACCGGCGGCCATCTAGTGGATCAGCATGGTGGTCGTCGTGGTGATGATCGTTAGAGTTTTTTTTTGTATTTTTGTTATGTTATTATTATTTGGGATATGTATGTGGACTATTTATGTGTTATGTGGACTATTATGTGGACTATTTATGTGGACTATTCTTTGAACTATTTTTACATTCATGTATGATGTTATTAGCGATAACTATTCGGAACAACAAATAACAAACAACAACTCGGACATTTTATAATTTGGCCAAGAACAACAACTACTACATTTGAAAAACAACAACTACAACAACCTTCTTAAACCATAAAAACTATTTGAAAAACAACAACTACTTCAAACCACAACTATTACATTTGAAAAACTGTCAACTGAAAACTACCACCACCAACGAATTTGACGCCTAAATTATCCTCTACTTTATCCGATTTCCACCGAACGACTAGTTCAAATCTTCTAAAATCACTACAGAAAAACTCACTAATTGAACTAAACACAATCATAATAGCATTTGAATAATAAAATTAAAAAATAAATATGTCTCTTACCTATTAGCCATTTGTGGTGTGAATAACTGATACGAAATTCGTTGGTTTTGGGTTCAGGGTTTAGGGTTTAGGGTCAGAATTATGATTGTTCTGCGCGGTGCCACCTCAGTCTCAGGTGGCCACGCCTCAGTCTCAGGTGGTAACACCTCAGTCTCAGGTGCCAACACCTGGGACTTTCTTCCCATCTATTAACCTGAGACTCAGGTGGTGGCACCTCAGTCTCATGTGGTCTCGCCTAACTTTTTCTCCAAAACACAATATACTTGTCAATACTTTTTAATCCGCCATATTGGTGGTAAATTTTAAAAAAAATAAAATATTTTTGTCATTAACCCTGTCTAGTGAGAGAAGAGCTCAATGACTCAACTATAATTTGTTTTTGTTTTTAATTTTAAAAAATAATTATTTTTATAACTTATAATGACGTGGCAATTATATGATGACTTGTCATTGACGTGTATGTTGAGGTGGCATCTTTTGAATTTTTCGATAGTTGTGGCTATATTTGTCACAAACGTCAAAGTTGTGGCTTCTAATTTTTATTATGTAATTATAGAGGGATGGGATGACTTGCTAACTCACCAAAAGTTAGCACGGTACTAATCCTATTAATCTCCTTTCATCTTTTTTATTTTGTATCCACGGTAGATATTAAGGAAGGGTAGTTTGGGAATTTCAAAAATTAAATTAATTAAAATTTAAAAGGCACAATAAATCAATAATTTCTATGTTCATATTTTTAGCGTCTGTCTCCATATCACTCCCTAACGTTTGAATCATATAGTGTTTTCGTTGATAGTATTATTATTATTTTGGTAAATATTCTCTGATAGTAAGTATTGTGTAGTGATTGTCATGATTTG